TTTTTGAGACAGAGTCTTGCTTTGTTACCCAGGCTGGAGTGCAATGGCGCAATCTCAGCTCATTGCAACCTCTGCCTCCCAGGTTCAAGAGATTCTCCTACCTCAGCCTCCTGAGCAGCTGGGACTATAGGCACGTGCTACCATGCCCAGCTAATGTTTTGTATTTTTAGTGCAAACAGGGTTTCGCCACATTGGCCAGGCTGATCTCAAAGTCATGGCCTCAAGTTATCCATCCACCTTGGCCTCCCAAAGTGCTGGGATTCCAGGTGTGAGCCAGTGCACCTGGCCTGTGCTTATAGATTTCTGATTGGAGGTTTGAGGCAGGAACAAATTACCAGCTCTTACCAAAGGATGGAGAGGTACCAGAGGGCATATCCCATGAAGAACATGATGAGCGTGTCAGCTTGTGCACAGTTGTTATATTAAATGTCTTTTTCTTAATTTGTATAGAGCAGGTAGAAGAATCCACCAATGTGGTGGAGTTCGTGAATGCTGAAGATGACCGTTGTCTAATAACGCTCCCCTTAAATGACCAATCTGAGCCACCCGTGAGTACAGGGAGTGGGGCTCAAGGTTCTTTTCTGTCTCCACTACAATAGTGACAGGTGGAAGCCACCTTTCCTGGTTCATAGACCACTTTGTCCTGGCCATTTTTCAATTAAAAAAATTTAAGACAAGACCTTGCTCCGTCATCATAGCTCAGTGCGGCTTCAGCCTCCCAGGCTCATGTGATCTTTCCGCCTCAGCTTCTTGAGGAGCAAGGATTACAGGTGCTGTCACCATGCCTGGCTCATTTGTCAATTTTTTATAGAGATGGAGTCTCGCGCCATTGCTCAGGCTGGTCTCAAACTCCTGGCCTTAAGAGATTCTCTCACCTTGACCTCCCAAATCTTTGGGATTACAGACATGAGCCACTATGACCCATCAGCAGTCTGTCAATTTTTGAACTATCCCCTCCCTGAGATTGTTTTTTCTCAATGTTTGAGTAATTGTGTATTCCCTCTCTTTTTTCTTTCTTTTTTTTTTTTGAGATGGAGATTTGCTCTTGATGCCCAGGCTGGAGTACAATGGCATCATACTGGCTCACTGGAACCTCCACCTTCTGGGTTCAAGCGATTCTCCTGCCTCAACCTGCTGAGTAGCTGGGATTATAGGCCCCTGCCACCATGCCTGGCTCATTTTTGTATTTTTAGTAGAGGCAGGGTTTCACCATGTTGGCCAGGCTGGTGTCAAACTCCTGACCTGAGGTGATCCACCCGCCTTGGCCTCCCAAAGTGCTGGGATTACAGCTGTGAGCAACAGCACCCAGCATGAATTCTCTTTCATTCAACTCAGCTTTCCCTTGGAATACATGACTTGTCTGGCCTCTACCTCATTCCTTCATTTGGGATTTAGAGACTGAAGGAGCCTGATGTTTGGGGGTGAGACTTGGCTTTCACTTACTTCCTGTAGGAACTTGGGCACATTACTAACATCGAGCATTGACGAACCTGAGGCTTCCCCTCCACAGAATGGAGGCATCAGGAGTTGACAGGGTGGCCCTCTTGGGATGGGAAAAAGCATGTACGTGGAGTAGCTAATACATTGCATGGCATGTAGGTATTTAGTCAAGTCCTCATTTTCTTCACTTTTTAAATTTTTTTTTTTTTTTTGAGATGGGGCTGGCTCTGTCACCCAGGCTATAGTGCAGTGGCACAATCTTGGCTCACTGTAAACCTCCACCTCCCAGGTTCAAGCGATGCTCATGCTTCAGCCTCCTGAGTAGCTAGAACTACAGGAGTGCACCATCATACCTGGCTAATTTTTGTGTTTTTGTAGAGACAGTGTTTCTCCATGTTGTCCGGGCTGGTCTCAAACACCTGGGCTCAAGTGATCCTCCTGACTTTGCTTCCCAAAGTGCTTGGATTATAGGTGTGAACCACTGTGCCCAGCCAATTCCACATTTTTTTTTTTTAACATCTGATCACATGAATATGTTATGTGGAAGTGTGATAGGGTGTCACGATTTTTTTTTTTTTAAGCAAACACACCAGAGGTTATTGCTCCAGAAAAGTTGTCATCCTTTTCAAACTAGTCTGCTTGGGTCAATGTGCACTTATCCCGACAGTACTGACACTGTTGAAGACAGTTTTGAGCCTTCATCTAGTGTTTCCCTGCTACCTGTGACAGTCTGTGATTCTCTCAGTGGAGCAAATTCTTTTGCGAGGGTGGACATGAATTTTTTGGAATAGACAACCATCATTTGGAGTCAAAAAAATCATTTATCAGTGACTGAGGTGTCTGATATCTTAGAACTTAATGCATATGCTTTTCTTGGAGGGCTCAAAAGACTTTCAAAGGAGAGACTTCAATTAAATCATAATATAATTTGCTTCTCTGCAGCAAACAAACATGGCAGAAATGAAACCAGATGATACACAACAAGGTCAGACACCTTTATCGGTCATAGTCAAGACTTGCAAGGTGTATTTAAATGTTTACTTGAGATGCTTAACTTGTTTTGTTTTAAATTTTTGTCATTAGAAGTTCTTTCAAAGCATGAGAATTCTTTAGATTTACAAGAACCACCTGTTGAAATTCAGGCTCCTCAATTAAATGACAAATCAAGGTAAGTGATTTTTAAAATTAATAAACCATTCTATTAGTCTGTTTTCACACTGCTGATAAAGACATATTCCCAAGACTGGGTGACTTATAAAGAAAAAGAAGCTTAGTGGACTCATATTCCACATGGCTGGGGAGGCCTCACAGTCATGGCAGAAGGTGAAATGCACATCTTACAGGGCGGCAGACAAGAGAGAATGAGAGCCAAGTGAAAGGGGAAACCCCTTATTATAAAACCATCAGATCTCATGAGATTTATTCACTACCGGGAGAACAGTATGGGGGAGCCACCTCCATGATTCAGTTATCTTCCACTGGGTCCCTCCCACAAATCATGGGAATTATGAGAGCTACAATTCAAGATGAGATTTGGGTGGGGACACAGCCAAACCACATCAACCATGCAGATCAGTGTTAATGTGGGCACTACAAGTTGACCACCTAGGTTTTCCCCCTTTCCTGTGTGCAGCCAACCCCTGCCCCTGACCACACACAAGACAGTGTTGTGTGAAGATTTCTATAGAATCATTGGAGCAGCATTGGCAAGTTCTTCTGACCTCTGGCCTCTACCATTACACCTCTAGGGTTATCTCCAACAACGTATTCTTCTGCAGGAAAATACTGACTTTGAGATTGAAGGACACAAAGTAAATATCCAAAAATTAATTTTCTTTCTGTACATTAACAACAATCAAAAAATTGAAATAAAAAGCTATGCCATTTACTAGTAGTATTTAAACATGACATAGGAATTAATCTGACAAAAGATTCATAAGACCTCCACCTCCTCTACCTCCTGCACTGAAAACTATAGAACATTGCTGAGAGGAATTAAGGAAGATCTAAATATGTAGAGACAAATGCTGTGCTCAAGAGATGGAAGACTTAAGATGCCAGTTCTTCTTCTTCTTCTATTTTTATTTTATTTTATTTTTTTTTGAGATGGAGTTTCACTCTTGTTGCCCAGGTTGGAGTGCAATGGCACAATCTCTGCTCACTGCAACTTCTGCCTCCCAGGTTCAAGCAATTCTCCTACCTCAGCTTCCTGAATAGCTGAGATTACAGGCATGCATCACCACACCTGGCTAAAGTTTTTGTAGTTTTAGTAGAGATGGGATTTTCCATGTTGGTCAGGCTGGTCTTGAACTCCCGACCTCAGGTGATCTGCCTGCCTTGGTCTCCCAAAGTGCTGGGATTACAGGCGTGAGCCACAGCGCCTGGTGCCAATTCTTCTTAAAATGGTCTGTGAATTCAATATAATCCCTGATTTTATGTGTGTGTGTGTGTGTGTGTGTATATATGGAGAGAGAGAGAGAGATTGAGATTGGGATGGGCTCAGTGGCTCATGCCTATAATCCCAGCACTTTGGGAGGCTGAGACAGGCGGATCACCTCAGGTCGGGAGTTCAAGACCAGCCTGACCAACATGGAGAAACCTCATCTCTACTAAAAATACAAAATTAGCAAGATGTGGTGGTGCATGCCTGTAATCCCAGCTACTCGGGAGGCTGAGGCAGAAAGATCACTTGAACCTGGGAGGTAGAGGTTGCAGTAATCTGAGATCATGCTATTGCATTCCAGCCTGGGAAACAAGAGTGAAACTCCATCTCA